TCACCTTGAAGGTTCCAAAAACTAGATGATGGTCTGAACACACATCTGCTCCTCTTCTCGACTTTGTGTCCAGCAGGCTGGCTGCGTCTCCACTTCCTTGAGCAGCATTCAGATGAAATCTATCTGATTTGTGGTGTGTCCGTCAGGCGAAATCCGTGTCACCGGCCTTGTGCTTGTATACGCTGCCTCCGATCACCAAGTCAATGAAAGCAAAGAAGTCTGTGAATAATGCTCCGTTGTTGTTCATTTCGCCGAGTGAGAACCTCTCGACTCATGATGAGTTCTCCTCCTGTGTTGGTGTCTGCCCCCAGTTTGGCTTGCATTCACATCGCCCATGAGAATTTTGGTGTCACCATGTTGGATGTTGTCCATTACTATTTGTAGTTGTCCGTAAAAATCTTCCCTCTTCTCTTGTTCCACGTTGTTTGTAGCACTGTGCGCAGTATTGCATGATAATTGCTACCTTCCTTCCTTCCTCCCTTCTGAGTTGAATCTTGCTGTCATGATCCTGTGGGATGAAATTGGTTCCCACTGCATGAGAACTTTGGTTGCCACTGGTGACATCATGATAGCCACCCACTGCCTCAGTATGCTCGTGGTTGTCGTCTGGGTGACCAGAGGCGATTACTGACTCTCCAGTTGACTATTTGGCTAGTCCACATTCATTCCATCCGCTCTCGCAGATTCCCAGCACTTCGATGCCATATCTCCTCATTTCTTTAGCTACCTGGACAACCTTCTCCACTGGCAGCGTATATTGTACGGACATTCCACATCCCCATTCTTATTCTTGCTTTCATCAAGAGAAGACACATTATCTGGCTGGTTGGCTGGCTTCCTGAAGGCTTTCACCAGCTGGCTGTGTCCTTTCGCCTCTCCGATTCCAGCGAAGAATAAGATTGTTATTTGAATATTTTGTATTTTTAATATATTTTCTGTGCGTTGAAGTTTCTCTAGCATTTTGATAGGTTTGGTTGTGTAGGATTGCCAGCTCCACGTCCAATCCTCTGTCTATACCCAGGCTCGGGACCGGCTAGAAAAGTAGCAAGCTAGTTAACTACGCTTTGTACTACTATTTACTTTGATAAACGATAAAACAAACAGAAGCAAAAGCTATCCAGCAATATTAAGGGAATAAAGTACTACTTTATAGTAAATCTTTTGAGTATATTTACAATTAGTGAAAATAGATATTTGTTGCTGAGGAAATGAGTAATACGGATATGTTGTGCAGCTGCTACAGTTGTAAAAATTTTTTATCACCACCTACCTGTTGTCGGGTTGAGACTTATGGTGCTGTCAGACATCCAAATAGGTCTCTCTTTAACTAACTGAGTTAAGCTACTTGAATTTCCACTCAGTACAATCCGAACACTATTTTCAGTCGGACCAAATGTAGATAAGTTTCTCTTGTTTGACTCGCCAGAATCCATAGTATCCAAACCAGCATACTGAGATGAAGTTTGTGTCCCATCAGTGTTCTGATAATGTGAAAACATTCGGACAGCAGTAGTTTTAGACCAACAATCCGTAACATATAAATTCAGTTATTTTAATACCACTGACCTACACATTTTATGTTTTAAAATTTCTCAAAACAGATTGTGGTATGTAACAGTGAAAACATGTTGCAATCCAGCTACTAAACAAATTACTAAAATATTCAGACTTTGACTACTGGTTATATGTTAACATTAATGGATTTTTATAGCTGTAAAACCTAAGGGAGAAGTTACTGAAGACAACTGTCCACTCTGATTATTCTTCTGAATAATTTGCGCGGATATACAAACTAGAGGAATACATGCCATTTTATTTATTCATATACGGCTTCATTTTCAGACACTCACACTATTATAAGACTATATTTTGTATCATTCCATTATGGATATGGCTTTATTTTGATACATTACACAGTGTTGCATATTAATAGTAAGAAGTGCTTTATTATGCACAATTTTCTGCCCATTCCTTTGAGTAATATATTTTCTTCACCCATATTTTGAAGTTAATCATCTTTCTCCAATACATCATCCAACACAATTATGTTAGACCTGAAGAAGTTTGTAATCTTTTTTGCCTTCTCTCTTATGTTCCCCAGTATTGAACAACACTAGATTGCATACCAATTAAGAAATTTGCACGAGAATGGCAGTAAGCAAAGGAAATAAGATGCATTATGTTTTATTGAAATTCAGGTAACCCCGTGATTCCAGTAGTTCTCCGTACTTTATTATTGTTTCACATATTTTAAATCTAGATCTATTCTAGTCTAGCTATGGTACCATTCTGCAGCATATCATCTTCTTTTTCCGCCTCCCTCAGAGCTCAGTTCGACTGGATGTAATTAGCTATTTATGATATTTTTTAATGCCAGTCATACCAATATCAATACATTAATCCATAAACATCTTAGTTTATTGGTGACATCAGGTAGACAATGTGGACATGTAAGGAATCTATAACGTATATACGAGAAAAGCGTCAAAGCTACTCACACTGAGTGAATTAGGTTCGCAATGGGACAAGACGAATAACTAATCAAGAACGACAGGCATTTGTTATCTGTGAGCTTCTGTTTCTTAACTGTAGGGTACCGAGTGGTGAATGTCCTCGCATCTGTTTAGTAAGGTTTCAGCGTTTCATCTGTCCACCTGCATAAATACAATTTACACGTCCAAAACTGATTGACGTCTTCAATTACTCTATCCGTTGTCGGATTTTTAATTTACATAATTGTTTATTTAGAAAATACGGTCGCTAAAGACACACCTCATTTGTCTCCTGCAACAGTAATAATCAAATAATCTGAGTGGTAATAGTGAGCATGTATAATTAATACTAGGTTCAGAAAACTTATAGTTACTTTCGCTATGCAGTTCTCATTTTGTTTTCGGCCAATACCTGAATAACTTCGTTTGAAAGATTCCGAAAAAAGTTTCAGGAGTGCAAATAAGTGATTACTGGCCACTTTGCTCTTGGAATATGTGCGCTGCAATACATACTGAAAATAACCATATTCTCTTGATAGCCGACTAAACTAAAGTAGGTGGTTCTCAACATAGGAAATGAATCAGTGAGATCAAGTTAATGGGATACAAACCACATCCTTTTCTACAGATCATAAAAGTTTCATGAGTTCCTCACAGTCAGGAAATATTATTATCTTATTATTATTGTTCCCTTGGGTTCCTTGTGGAACATAGGGCTTCAGCTGCACTTCTCCATTTGCTTCTGTCTTCTGCCGTACTTTTCGCCTGCATCCATGTTAGTCCATACTGTTTCAACTCCCCTTCACACGATCTCCTCCACATCACCCTTGGACGTCTCACTAGCCGCCTCCCTTTCCGGTTCCACTCGAGGGCCTGACGCGCGATGTCACCCAACGGCCTCCTCAGCGAGTGTCCAATCCATCTCCACTTTCTCCTGCATATTTGTTGAGTGATTGGTTCTTGTTTTGTTTGTTCCCATAGTTTCTTGTTGGTGATTCGGTCCGGCCATCTGATCTTCAGTATAGAACGAAGACAGCTGTTAATAAAGGTCTGCAACCTGTTGGAAATATTCTTTGTGGCCCTCCAAGTTTCTGATCCGTATAGAAGAACTGACTTGACGTTTGTATTGAAAATCCGAATTTTGTTGTTGATGCTGAGTGACAGTCAAAAAATGTACTCCAATATCGAAGCACTAATGGATCTTATGGAATATGTGTCACTCTTGGAAAACTGAAAATTATGGCAAAAGTATGACAACACTCTTATGTTGTGACTAAGTGTGTATCTCTTATTTAACAGCTGAACTACCAGTAAACTGGGACCGATTTTCTGTCCAGAGTCTAATATATCAACACACCTTTTCAGCAGAGTTCCTTAGGGTAATGAAAACACTGAAAATACATAGGAAGTCCATAGGTCACTGTGGCTCAAATTTACTGCACGCCAGTATGTTATGTTTTTGTATGACATTTATTACATCTATGGACATATAACTGCCATATAATGTGATATCTGACGCTAAGACGCAAGGTTATCTCAAACATTTGAAGTTTATAATACAGTGAGGAATATTTTTGATTGGACATTAGTAAGTGACTAGTGTAATGTGTCTAGTGCTATCTTCGTTGCAGACTGAATTCTATCAGTCAGTGAGTAATAAAAATCACCTAATTTGATGTGCCCCTGAAGCGAACCATTTTTTTATGTCGGAATCCTACTACACCAGAAACCCTTTATATTCTGTTATATGCTCTTATGAGAAAGTATTTCTGGCAGTGATGGGATGTCTAGAAGTATATCCTTCTCTTCTGTCATGGAAAATACCATAGGGTAGTATTTCCATGTCAAATTAAGCATTGTTATTAGAATACATTACCAACTGAATAGGTGCGCATTCTGAGAACATTTTCATCAATTTACGAACATTTATAGGAGCATTTCGTTGACATAGCTCTAATGCCTGAGTCATAATGCAACGCGTTCTCACATGGAGAAGAAGTTTTCCAGCATTATCGTTAACCAATTCACAAATCCAGTGAACATTGTCATACCAGCTGTTTTTGTTGAATACTCATCTTGTCACACTAAATCTGCGTGATGTACTCGATGTCAGTAGTGAAACTGTGATGTCAGTATTGTTGATAATAAATATAAATCTATAAATCAGAGTTACGAAATATCAGGGAATATTTCATAGATCTGGAGCATATGCTTACGTAAAGGTAACATGATGTAATCAGCTAGTATTCACCACTGATTTAAACTGTGACTAGGAATACGCAGTAAAAAAGAGGCTTTATTTATTTCACAACTTTATCTCAAACTGAGAATTATTCACGTGCAGGACTTATTTTAAGGGATTCGTGTGCTTGGTTGTTTAGCTAGTTGCCTTACTTGCTGTATGACGATTTGAAAGGTACGGATCTGCGTCCACATTCAAATTGTGAGTTCACGCGGCAATTCAACTTGTCTATTTCAGAACGTTAAATACTTATTTCAATGACAAAACCACTTATTGTATTATTTTCATTTCTGATGCTGTGGTGGATGTCTTATATTGTCATATACTCATTCACTTTATTATTCGCTATTCTCCTGCAGTTTAATGGCACAGACGCCTGTCAGCCTGAGGGTCACACTTCCCGGGAAGCAGAATTTTGTTGGCGGATCTGGATTTGTTCAAGTACTTCAGACCCAGGCGCGTTCAGATGCTCAAAATGTTGAACAAAGGTCACAGAATATGAAGACGATAACAACTATTCGTCCATTTGTCCCAGCAGTCTCTGGTATGGCCATAAACACTAATACTGCTGTACAGTATGTGAGAAATACTGCAGAAATACCAGGTGGGTTGGCTATAATTTTTTTATTTAACGTATATTCTGTCTTTTTGCCGCATGTTTTCGTGGCTTCGGATTAGTGACTATAGTTCTTTCTGGTGTAGGAAGCAGCAGTTATTTAATTTTGTGAAAATATTATGTACGGTCGTCTAGTTAGTGTTAAAGACGGGGTCAGGTTCCCTGCTGCAATGGGTCTACTTTAGTTCCGATGCTTTGGCTTTGATTTTCGATATATAGGTTTATGCTAACGGGTATTGAATGAGTGACAGTACTAAGTTAGGCCCCCTAGCTTGGTTTCTTTTAAGCAGCAGGGTGTCATAAAGAATGAACAGCAATGAAGTTTGTGCAGCCTGGTTTATGTCTGAATCAAAATCTTTTTGAGCGTACGTGATGTTTTGTGTGCAGAGCCTAGGTACGTGTATGTACGTGGACACTGTGCAATAGTATAACACTTCAAAAATGCATATTGTTGGAATGTTGCAGCATTTACAATTTTTTGAGAAAAGAGAGATATTCAGTCCTTCAAACCGTGACCAAGGTAGCAAAACTAGACTAGTACGTTTAAATCCTACGGTGATCTCATGGATTTCATTGCTGAGTTTTGTGGTAGCACTGAGTAAGAACAAATTTTATTGGACATGTAGGTTGTAGACTGCTTTGTATAACTTAAATATAAACTTTCGTTTCAGTCTTTAAAGCAATCCAAGAATTCTTACATCTCTTGCAGTATCTTGACGTTCACTATCGCGTTTATTGGAAAATTCACAAATGGAGTACTTAAGTTTAAATAAAAGTCATACCGGATTTTAAATCGTTTGTGAACTAAAGCAGCAGGTATATGGCTGCATTAAACAACAGTTTGGCAAGCTGAGGGTACATATAGTCATATGGGCTGGCACCTATCGCACCAATATTTTGAAAGGGATGCTAAAGTTCCGTAAACTAGAGGTTTCCCATACTTAACCTTATTCTTATGTATGTAAGTGACTAATTACTGTAATGTTGGTAAATCATCTGGTGACCAATATCAGAAGAAACAAAGCTGTTTGCTACCGTACTATCATGAGAGTTCATCACCTGCTATTTGGAATGATGAAATAAATTTGTGGTCCGTGACCTCAGGTTGCTGGATGTTACCAGGTGCGTGTCTTTAGTTATATGTCACTGAGATAGTCTATGAGTTATACCAGTATTTATTAATTTTCTACTTTAGTCCTCGGTGCTCCTGGCGCTTTTGTTGCGGCTCCAATGAATCGAACGTTCACTCCGTTTGTTAATCCAGTCATGAATTTAAATCCTGGCTTGATTACTTCTCTTCCTGGTGGCCCTGTAGGCGGACAGGGGCAATTAGGTAATGCCCTCTCCAGCCTAGCGAATTCACGCAAACCTTGTAATTGCACGAAGTCACACTGCCTTAAATTGTACTGTGAGTGCTTTGCACAAGGCCAACTTTGTCAGAATTGTAATTGCCACAACTGCATGAATAACCTAGCCTATGAAGAAGAACGGGGGAGAGCTATTAAGATGACTTTGGAACGAAACCCTACTGCATTTCATCCGAAAATTGGTCGTGGCGAAGGCGAAAGAAAGCATACTAAAGGATGTAACTGCAAGCGTTCAGGGTGTTTGAAAAACTATTGTGAATGTTATGAAGCAAAGATAAGCTGCTCAGACCTGTGTCGCTGTCAAGGTTGTCGCAATACCGAGGATAGCGTAGAAAGGCGCTCCCTTATGCGTTTGGCTGCAATGGGAGTCTTGAGGTCAAGACAGCCTTCTTCCTTCAAAAAACACTTACTAAAACCTGTATCGGAAACGTAAGTTCTTTTTACGTTGTAAAAATGATTAACTTGGAATAATTGCATACTATGTTTAAGTAGTAACAAACTCAGTTATATTCATGGTAAGCTTAGAGCACTTCGTACTGGTTTCTTTGTTTATATTTTCTTATATATATAATGCGGGTCGATGCTCACCATATAGTTCAGCGTGCTGCAATGCACTAAAAATGGTCCACCTATCAAGGTCGTCAACAGAGAAATTAATTTCCGGTGTTGTACAGATTGACTGGAAGCAGTCACGCCTCAGTCATTCTTAATCACCTGAACCTGCGTAAGTTCTGCAATTGTCATTATCATTTTAGCTTGAAGCAGCATTTCCAGCGCCAGCAACAAGCATTCCAAATCATCGTAAGACCAATGATTTCACTAGGTTCGTCCTCATTGTCTCTAGGCGTAGTGTACAGTTCAAAGCATCTCGAAGTTAATTGTGAAGATCTTTAAAGTGAATACCCATTATGTTTCTTAAGTAAATTCTGTAGTTTTGCAAAGGCCAAGTACGTTGCCAATTTACTCATCATATTTAAAGAATGTATATAAGGGGATGTAATTCCTGAAAAATTAAGCAGTCTTTCTTAGAAGCATTTCCCACTAAGCTCAGTGAAACAACAACTTCTTGGTTAGTTGTCAAATGTCTATAACTCAAACCTATAGAAGAAACCGAAAGCAGCTGTGTTCAAAGATTGCATGATGACTATTTCTCAAATTGGTCGGATATGTAGCAGGAGCGTTCACAGCTCACGATCACTACTTGCTAAAACCGACTCTATGTAATCTGCGCTCGTTTCTTGGAATCTGCGCAGACGACAAAGCGCAAAAATGTAGAATCTTCCAGATACTTCAAAATAAACAAAATGTTTACGAGTTGGTCTGATCGAATTGTCTGTTCAAAGGATGATAATTTGACACTTATTTCAGCACCAACCTGATTAGTTGCATCCACTGTCTTTGAATAGTAGCTTGAGCAAAAATTGTTCAGTTTATCACTTGGCAAAGCATGTGAAGTAAATAAGGTTTGTTTTCTACAGTTCAACCCCTACAACTAACAAAATCGCAGGTAAATTTTGGAGTATTTGTTGGTTTAAGGCTCAGTACGCAAGGTGAATAGTCCACTCTTAGTAAAGTAATATATCCTAGACTGCACAAGGTCATTCACTAAGATTCGCTAGTCTTGGGTGTGACCATATAACACGTTTATTTACACCATTTATATCTAGTGAGCCAGTTACCCTTATTTGTTTTCGCTTCACCTAGGCGGCCTGCATAAAACTTGGGCTACCGACAAATCTCCAACAGCATATCACATATAATTTCTCCTATTCACATTTTTTAAATCTGGTAAAATATGACCTAGTAGTATTGTTTGTTCTGGTCAGCGTTTAGAATGTTCATAACCTACTAATTCGCAAGTTTCTACTAAATATGAGAAAAAGCTTATCCCAATACATATGATAACCGTTCCTGAGTGGTGCCTCATTCATAAGATGTACGCCTGAACTTTTTATAATAGGCATTCAAAACAGTTTCGTGCTTTTCTCGTAGAAGATCCAAAAGAGTTATCATAATGGATTGAGTTTCGCTTCAGGTCGGATAAGGCTGTGCTACACGACCTATTGTCAATTAATCTTTTATTTGAAGATCCTGGACAAAGAGGAAATATCATGCAACAAACACCGCTGAGAATTCTGTACATTATACAAAGACGGTTCAGAATCAAGTTATCACTATGATTATTTTCACCCTATCTATAAAGCGGTATCTTGGAACGGTGCGCGAGTTTCTTCTGCATCATTTTTATCTATGAAACCAATAACCACTAAACAGTATGTCTTTTAAAGGTACCTGTTTTTTAACGTGTTTGGCAACAGTGAATTGTTTTCCACTGATAAATATCAAGTTCAAGGATTACTTTAGAAAACAACTTGAGAATTTATTTATACATGTCTCATACAGGTTGGCGCACGTATTCTTCACTTGGGAAGTGATTGACGCAACAGCTACTTGTTTAATGGCCCAGGCTGAAGAAATTGATCGTCGTGATGTACCTCCAGCGGCAAATGAGCGAATGCTTTTGGAAGAATTTGGACGCCTTATTGATCGTGTGATGGAAGTGTCTGTCAAAGTAAGTCTGATGCGGTGTTAGAGTTAGTCGTTTTTAATAACTAATGGAATTGAAGACATGTTGTAAACCACAGTTAAACCTACGATCGACTTTTGCTTTCAGGTTCATCCATCGAGTGGCATCCACACCTCGGCTTCGATCGACGATAATGAACAAGGTCTGACACATAGTGGGGGGTCAACTGGTCCTGGAAGTCTAGGTGGTAAGGGTAGTGGAGCAGTTGGAGTAGCAGCTGCCACGGCTGCTGCCGCAGATGTTCTACAGGATGACGAAGATGATGAGGATGAAATGATGAATGAGATGGATGTAGATGATGCCGACGATATGGAGGATGAAATGTACGACCTTGTCGGAGAACCAACACTTTCACGTCACCAACATTCCCGATCACACCTTGCACGCCGTCATCGATCTGCGCACCTTGTTTCTGATTTTGATGACGACATAATGAGCGATGAAGACCCTGTAGATAGGGTTCATGGTGTACCTCCTACTGTTAGACAAGGAATTATTTCACACAGATATCAGGAAACGCATTCACGACGGTTGCAACAAACAAGTGATAATAAATACACGTCACATCATACTCGGCGGAGTTTCAGTAACCGCAATCATCGTCACCACGACCCTGACTCGATAATATAATTACTTGGTCTAACTTTGAATTTATGACACTTATATAAAGACTTCATTAACATCAAATAACTACAATTTTAATTGTGCTCACCCCTCCGTAATTTGTGACCGTGGGCTGTATTTCTTATTTTTACCTATCTCAAGCATCATTTTTACCCCCTATTTTCATTTGATTGTAATTTGATTTTATTCATTTATATTTTACAATCAGTAATATCTCTTATTTTCATTTGATGGTAATTTTTATGTACTCCTTATCTATGTTTCATAATCGTCGGTTTTATTCTATATTTTTATTCGATTGCAGTCATTTATATTTTACAATCATCAGTAATATCCCTTATTTTCTTTTGATTGTAATTTTTAAGTACTCCTCACCTATGTTTGATATTCGGCTAATTTCTTCCTCGTATTTTTATTGGATTGAAATTTTTATCGTGTTTCCTTATCTTTATTTAATAGATATAATTGTTAAAACTTGAACTGTCAAGTACATTGTATTTTACATTTTACAAATATATTGTATTGTACAAAGGTTGTCCCCATTATTTCACTCGAGCATTATATTACTGTACATTAGTTTACCGACACGCACGTACTCGGCCCGTTCTTCTTTCGTCATTGTTCTAACAATTGCAGGAGTTATATCTGAATACATCATAGTTTGACCACCGACGAGGACTTCAAACTTTTTCGATTTAAGGTCGACGACGGATTTGTTATCTAGGTAAAAGGGTAAACTAAAAAGACTTATATTTCCCGATAACAAGGCAGTTGACATCATATAAACACGAGGGTGATAGCTGACATGATTCCTTTCTGAATTAATTAAGTGGTAAATATTGAAACTTACTTGCATGCAGAGTAATGACAACGTCAAAAATAGCTAAGTAGAAGGAATGAGTATATTTACTATATTTAAACACAGAAAACTTGGTACAATATGGTACCAAGAAGAAGCGCCACGCAATAAAAATGAAACAAAATAGATTGAAAGTTATTAAAAATGCAGGTGGACAACGGATGAAGAACTTCATCTGCAAGGAAAAGTCATACTTAACAAGTTCAAACAGCATTCGTTAACTATCATGGGGAAAGGAAGAAAGAAGGAAACTGCGGCACGTTTGCCACTGATTACGATATTTTGCCATATCCGATAAGGTTTCGAGCTATCTCTCGGACTCCAGCTAGAGAGTCGTGGCGCATCGTCCGATGCTAACCAAGCACAAATATTCTTCATCCCGTGGCGCTACGTTATGGGCTGACCACAACTCCGCCTTTTCCATCCCGTCCCAGGGATAGCGAACAGAAACCTGTACGGAAGCCTCTGGGATGACATCCGTCGCACATGTTCCTAGATGACACTCAACGAATGGTCTCCACTGTGTTCAAACACGCCGCCGGACCTCAGAATTACTCACGCGATGATGCCATCGAACGCAAGCAATCCTGCAGACAGCCATGATCGAGTATGCGGAGCCGCCGCACATCCTCAGCTCGGAGAGGCCGGGTTTCACAGGCGTAGAGCAAGACAGTCTGCACTGAGGCATTGTATGCCCAACTTTTGACAGCCAGGCTAACGTCGCGACAGCGTCAGAGGTGGCTCAAGTTGATGTATGCCACCCCAGCCTTCATGATACGGTTGGAAATCTCATCCGCCAGCACTCACACTGCTAGCCAGATACACAAACTTATCACCAATTTCAAGCGGTTCACCTGCAAGAGTGGGTACACGTACAGGCTCCTGCCAATCTTGTTACAATACTTTGCACTTAGACGGCGCAAAGCAAATACCATACTTAGAGACACTGATCGCCAACTGATTAAGTGCGATTCGGGCAGCGTGCATGCTATCGCACAGTAAGACGATATCGTCTGCATACTCGAGGTCGAAAATTCTTTCTCCAGGGAGCAGACCTACACCACCTTTACACATCCTTCAGAGCTGACTCTAGAATGTTATCGATGGTAAAGTTAAGGAAAAATGGAGAGATTGGGCAACCCTTTCTAACCCCACAGTTGGCTGGGAACAATGATGATAGTTGGTTGTATGCCCTCACTCTACCCGAGGTGTTTCTGTATACGGCTTTCAAGATGTTAACAAATTTCCCACGTACACCTCTCTCTAACAGACAGTTCTGTCTAACGAATCGAAGGCAGCCTTAATGGCTTAGTTCCACTTTCAGTCTCCAATTCTATTCTGAATAATCCAGTTAAAGTCATCACAAGAGTCTCGCCACTATCTTTAAAAGGAGCCAGGGGTAGATTGTTTGGGTCGGTTGCGTTTTAGTTCTTGGAGTTCTTTACGGACCTCCGCTTCGGTTGGAGGGTCGGTAATAACCGAATGAGTGCATCAGGAATAGCTTCAATTATTCATGAGTGGTGACTAACAGTGGGATCCAAGATGCATACCTGGACGCCAAATTGTTGTCTACTAGACCACTTGGACTACGAGAGCCACATCCTTATTGTGGCTTATTAATCATTTAATTCAATTTAGATTTAGGGTGAAGTGCGCATCCTGGATTCTACTGCTAGTCACCATCCACAAATTGGCTTCAAGTTACATGACCAGACATCGTCGAAGCATCTGCACAAGAAGCCGACATGTAAACCTGAAACCGAGCACTTCAAGACAATCAATTGACGGGAAAATCTAAAATGAATTAAATGCTCAATGGCTTCTTGAACTAAGTACGTGAAGTTACTAAACTGGTGAAAGCTACAAATGTGGTTGCTTAATAATAAGCACTTGTAAGCAGCCTGCGGTGACGTAAACAAAAGTCACGAACACAGATGTTTGGAGTCTAAGATAAAAGTAGGGGAAAAGTAGAAAAGAAACCTATCAGTAGACAATCGAACGAATCGCGGATATGGTTTTCAAATTGTTTTTTATGTTTCATCAGTGCAACAACCTCCAATACGTTGTTATTCACATAAGAACAGCATCGTGTCCAAATGAACCGAAATAATATAAAAATAGGGATCGTTTGATTGGTCGCCTGCCACTTGGTTGACTTAGCACTCCCGCTTTAAGCATTATGATAAAGCCATTCGGGTTCTAAGTGGAAGTAGATCTAAACTCTAGATCAGCAAGGCGTGGCCAGCACTCTCATGCGTATGTATATGTGATGAATAGACGCAGTATGATACTAATTTGGCAGCCTCTTTTCCTCAGAGGAACTGGCTGGACAGTAGTGACTATTATTCTAGCGAAGGAATTTCGGCTTGCTGCTGCAGCTACGTGTCTGAATATAAAGATGGCACTTGACTGCCTCAGAAGCATTTAAAGAAACCAAATCTTAATTTATTGAGGCGTCTTGTTTAAGTTGACGTCATTTCTCCCAGAATTGATTCTGATAATGTTAGACTTCTGAAAATATCAACGGTGTTGACTAACGTCAGAAATTCTGATTCCGATTACACGAGATTTCAAATTTCGCTTTTACTAATCGCAACTTTCACCTAGAATCGAATATTCCAGTTTAGTTTTCAGTGCAATATGCAGTGATGTACGCCACTGAATACCCAACGTTAAACTCGCATTCCAAAAGTAAAAAAAACCTTTTTACCTCGGTCTTGGATATCGAAAGATCTAGTTCAGCTCTGGAAGACTGCTTTATCAACACGAAGCAAACACCAACAGAAATATTTAGGTATCAACCAGTAGTGACTGAGACTTACCTGAAGAGGTACATATATTTGACTGGGCAGGAAGTTTTTGCGGGTTGTAGCGGTCTAAAGAAAGCAACAAAAATCGTAAGCATTAGATCCGTATAAAGGATATTGACTACGCGTCCCTTTACTTACTTGAATTAGTTTTAGAGGTGTTGTGATTGGGCATCCCACGTCTTTCGTGAACTAGTAGTAATTGCATAATGTCACCCGAAGCGGTTGATGTACCACTTGTTGCATTTGTCATATTAGCATCTGAACTACCAGCATCCGTCAGTTTACTTTGGGAACCACTATTAGTTGTAATTGTAGATGAAGTGCTTCCATATGCCGACGGTACCCTTCCAGGCGCTAGCGTTTGTGTTACGGAGTCCTCAGAAGTATGACTTGGATGTAAGTCTATTGTACTTGAAAATACTGTTGGCTGCGAATCAGGTTCACCATTGGCTAAAAAGTATTCAAAGAATTAAGCAATGAATTACCGTATCATAAATAAGTAAAGCCTATATTTTTATTTAATTGATAGTGGCTTACAACAGAATCTAGGAAGCGTGTCTCGTCTCACTTCGGACTCATCATCTAGATGCATTTGCATCCTCAGTTAGTAGTGATTTTCTGACTATGACTCTAACTCAACACGTTTAGTTTCAAACACCGGAGCATTATCCATTAAGATACGACAGCTACCTATGACTCAGCGAATACTGCCTATTACTAGTCAAGATTATTGCTATTCGAATATCCGTTGACTGACTTTATTGGATCAAACTGCTCAGTCAATGCAGAAGCGTCGGTACCCAATACGGATTATCCATCAATACTTGACATGATATTACTCGGCTGATCGACCAACAGGAAATACAAATAATTATTTCCACAAATAGGTAAAAGTTAGACACTGACTAGAAAAGAATATAAGGGAGAATTCTGTGAGGCTTTCTCATTCCTTGGTTTCCGAGTGGATAATAGGGCTTCAACAATACATCTCCACTTTCTTCTATTTTCTGCTTCAGTTGGGTCCACGATCGCCCATGATCTCTTACCATCTCCTCGCACGATCTCCTTCATGTCGCTCTCACACCGACGACCCACTCATCGCTTCCCATTGGGATTCCACTCGAGGGTCTGGCGCGCGATGGCATCCGACGGTTTCCTCAATGTATACTCGATCCATCTCCATTTTCTCCCACACATTTGTTGAGCGATCGGCTCTTGGTTGGTTTGTTCCCACAGTTTCTTGTTGCTTATTGTTTCTGGCCATTTGATCTACAGTATGGAGCCAGCGAAACGGGCAGCTATTGATAAAAGTCTGCAACTGGCTGGCTGTTGGAAATCCTTGTCGTGAGACGCAGTGCAAATTTCTCACCCGTGTAGAAGGACCGACTTGAGATTGATGCTGAAAATCCGAATCTTGCTGTTTATGCTGAGTGATAGCAGAATATTTCCAAGCTGGTTTCAGACTGATGAAGCTGTATCTTGACTTTCCAGTTCTGGCCTTCACATCTTCATCCTTTCCGCCTGTAGTTGAAACAGTCCTTCCTGACCAGATAAGTGAAGGAGCTAACCTCTGTTAAATCTCTCCCGTTGATGGTGATTGGTGCTGGTTGTTGTTGGTGTTGCGGTTCGTCGGTTATC